TGTCCGCTCAGATCGGCACAGGTTGTTTTATATGAGTACCTTTTAAGAGCACCTTGGCCAAGATACAAAGTGCCAGCGATTGAACTGTGCCATAATGTGAGCCTGAGTGTGAAATTATTCATGCGCTGGCAGTGTGACCAGGTAGAAGAGCCTTGTCTAACACAGTATGACCTTGCATCTGCTGCATTCATTACTGCTAGGCACAAAAGGCACAATATGGAGCTAGACCTACCATGAGGTTGAGTATAATTTTTTATCACTTCTTAGTTTCTAATTTTTTTCTTTGTTTTTTGCACAAGGGTTACAGGATTAAAAAAGAACTATAATCTGTATTTACTTACATTACTGTCCCCCCAAAAAGCTACATATCTATATTTAAATCGGTTTAGTACTGGTTTTACTGCTGCTTCCATCTACATGCATGATTTTAAATTTATCAGCTACTTGTGCCATATGTTGTCATATCCATGGTTACGTGCTTATTGATCGATCTCACCTCAGTAGATTGCTGTTTTTTAATGTAACTGATCACTGACTAAATTACACAAATAACAAAATGTGAAAAATAAAAAGGACTGATATGGCGTGTGTCAAACACAATATGGAGATCTGGACTGAAACTGTGGCAAATATGAAACCTGCTCTGTTTAAGAATTGTGATACTTTTAAGGCTGTTATAGAATAGAATAGAATAGAATAGAATAGAATAGCCTTTATTGTCATTGTACAAAGTACAACGAAATTGGAGTGCCACTCCCTTGGGGCAAAATGCAATAATAAATATAAATGTAAAATATAAAAAGTACAATAAAACAACCGAAGTACTCAGACAATAATAAGTACAATATATACAGGATAGCAGCATAATATAATGATAGTATGAATAGCAGCATAATATAGTGACAATGGCAAATATGGTATAGTTAAGCAGGTTTAATTGTTTTGTGCTTATTTACTACGGTGATAGCTCTGGGAAAGAAGCTATCCCTGAATCTGTTTGTCCTGGGATAGCTTCTTTCCCAGAGCTATCACCGTCCACTTATAGTCCACTTAAGGCTATTATATCTGTGTGTAATGGATTCAATTAATTTTAAACATCAAAATTCTACACACAATGTCCCATGATGACAATGTAAATAGAGTTTGCTTGAAATTCTTGCAAATTTCTGTGGTAAATATAGTTGATTGATATGTGTTGGAAAGGCACACAGTTGTCTGTATAAGGTCCCATAGTTAACAGTGCATGTGGTTGTTTTTAAAGAACAACTGAAAGAAAAATGTGCCTAATTTGGTATATGTATGCAATATAGTTATACTAATTGAATAATTTACTATTAATGCTAATATTTATCTCAATCTTTTAAACACAAACCTGTGTTCAGTGGTGCCATATTGCAGACTTGTGATAAATGAAAATGGTACCTCTTGCTGAGTATTCATGGTCTCCACTAAAGAGGTTGTTGTTCTGCAAAAGCTTGACTTAAGTGGAGTGCCTCTACCTGCCAGGATGGTCATCTTCATTTATGTGACACAAAGTTACAGCTCTATGTAAAATAAATAAGTGTACTGTAGATAATAAATTGCCATTCTGTTAGTATTGGCCATCAGGTTTGTATTACCTTTAGCTTCACTTCTAGCTCATCTCAGCAGGTGGTGTTCAGAAGGAAGGAACAACAGCTTTACGTCAAAACAATAGAAGTAAATTAAGGTTGTCACCATAGGACACTGTAGCCAGTGTAAATTAGAAGGGACTGAGACATTTTAGTTTAAGGTTATATTTATTATTTGTGTGGGCTATATTTGGAAAGGAATCCCTGACAAATATTCTGTTCTAAGTGTATGAAAACACTATAATATATATACATATATTAGTATGATTGCTCTCAAAGAGCCCCACTTTATAGTGGCGACAGTCTTCCTGTACCTCACTTTGCTCTCCTGTTCCAAAGCTATCAGTGCTTTGATGCTTGCAGGTACACTGCAGATACTAAGAGCATCCTCCATCCCTCTACAATTACTGCAAAGTCAATAAGTCATGAAAGATTTACATTCCATCTATAATGAGCAATCAGAACTTATACCAATCCTGTGAAAGTTAATCTACTGTATGTCAGAAGAATAATTATTTTTAAGAGCGTAGTTAAAAATGTGTGCACATCATCAATATCTGCAGAGGAACACAAGTCTGGCAACTGCTGATTTTTCTAGTAGTTCACATATTGCATTGCAGCAACTCAGTGTAAATTACAAGGGGGAAAAAACCATGTCGGATCAGCTGGTTTAAGATTGGGTTTGAAACATGAATTGTGCAATGCTGCTCTGCTAGTCTAAAAGTACAAAATAAATTGCAATATATATGCATATATTTGTTATATAAATATAAAATCCCACAAATAATTCCACATAAAGATCATTTAGTCTTTCTGCAGTAGGAAGACACACCAAGTCCACTTGCTATTGGATGTGAGTCAAATAAATAACATGTGAATAGAGCAGATGACTAAACAGTAGTGAATGCTTTACTGTAAGGTAAAGGTTGCTATGTTTATGATAGCTTCAGTACTACTCCTCATTCTTTCACTGGGTTTTCAGTCATGTCTCCATGGATATGGTCTCGGAAGTACCAACTGTTGAGTTCAGACAGCAGACTGGCATCACACATCTCTGTCTTCATGCTTATTGCTGCTATTGTCATCAGCACTTTCACTTTGACGGCCACTCTCCGGCTCTTTGTCTCATGTAACTGGAAACACTGAGGTTGTTGTACCCACACTAGTTTTCAAAGTATTGAGCGTTGGTGTACTGTAGATCAGATTGGCAGGGGCCCAATATTTTCTGCTGGTTCACTGCCATGTTTGTGTGTGTTTGCCAGCCTCACTACATCACATACATTATAGATTAATTGCCCTTTGTGTGTCTGTGATTGGAACCCAGAGGAAGGCAGAGGAGGATATTGGAGGTCATTATTTGGTTGCTTGTTGAGCTGGTCCTGCTCTAACCCCTGACCTCCTCTATTACCTGACTTAAGACCCGGTGGTATCAGTGGCTCTGGTCAAATAAAAATAGCACACAGGGAAAGTTAGAGCTGGCAAGACTGACTCCTCGCCAGAATCAGTAAGCACACGATAGCTGGTCTCTCTACATAAACAAGCATGCAAAGATAAAAACAAAATTTATATTTAAAATTGTCTTTTTGACATAAGTGGGCAGGGAGGCATTAGATTTTCTTTGAAACAGTGCCAAAAGTTTCAAGAATGATTGAACCGTTTTACAAATGGAGCTGAACAATACCACAAGGAAAAAAATGTGAAATTACCGTGTGTAAAAGTGTCGTAGAAAAAGTAAAAAGAAGGCCTCAGATCCTAGTATGGCACCTCTTGAAGCTGTGTTTGCATACCTTTGCACAATTCTCTGAAATCGGCTTTGTGAACTCTCATTTCTTATAAAATTCAGTTCAATTATTTCTATAGTGCCAAATCACAGCAACAGTAACCTCAAGGTGCTTTATTTATAATGAAATTCCTTCAGTGCAAGATGTTTGTGGTTTTTCAAGGGTGTTCTCTCTGTTAAAAATTCAATTTTTTTTTATGAGATTCAGATTTGGGCCTTTTTTTAACCATGTTTTGGTAGATTTGGTAGATTTGTTACTGCAGTGATTGCATTTAATCACCAAGCTGTCTTTGTTCTGCAACAAGCATACTGCTGTTGTAGCCATTTGACTGGTCTGTCCAGAGCACATTATTCCAGCTAGCCCAGTCCTTACCTTGATGTCCACTGGCAAACTAGTTTCCAAACTATGGACAGAACAGACTTTCTTTAGTATGCCTGCTACGCGGGTTAAATTTGTGCTCTTTCTGATTGCAGGTACATGCACTTCAATGCCAACAGTTGCAAGACTTTTTTGCAGGTCCCGTGAAGAAAGTTTGATGTAGTATCTTGCCAGACTAATAAGCATCCACAACCTTTACTCTGAAGGCCTGAATGAATAATTTACATCTTAGCATGACGATAACAATATGCACTTCATAAGCAAAGGAAATACCAGACCCTAGTTTGATCTGGAACCTCTGATCCCAATCTTATAGACTTGAAATTGTAATAAATGCTTTCTTATTTTCTTGTGATTGATCTATATATTTTTATTATTTGCACTTATACCTCTAAATATGAGCCTATAATACTACTCTGTTCTCACAAACAATAACGGGTGATGTCCAGAGAAGTAATCATTAAATTGCCTACAGAGAAATTGACTGGCCCTCTCATCCTGTCAGGAGTGAGCAGCGCTTCCTCTGCTTTGGGATCCATTATTAGCAGTCAGGCTACTGGAACTCACTCGTATTGTTCCACTTACCACCAGCATGGGTAACAGATTAAGTGCCACACACACAAACACACACACAAACAGTCCAGCACAGTGTGATGCTTTATAGAGAGCTCTCAGCCCCCTGTGCCAAAAGCGGGCAGCTTTTTACATTCAGGGGAACGTCAATCAGAAAGTGCATCAGTCACTCCCCACTGCTCTTACAGTAAGAACCCATTTCCTGCTTGATTATTTATGATGCTGCTGGATAATCCAGCCTTGGATCAATTACACTGTGCAACCTATGGGCTGCATATTACAGTGATGGTGAATAAATCTGTCGCTGGAAGACTTCTGATGAAATTATAAAATCTCTTGGCATGGATTTCATACTTAATCTTTAATCTTTAAACAACATACCTTTTGATTCCTAATCACAAAGTGCAATTAACAAGTATACTTTATAATAGGAAGCATCATATGTAATAGAATAGAAGGTGTTGGTAATAAACAGCTTGATACAAGGCTGCCCTCTGCTGAACAATGAAGTGAAATGCATGTGTCCTCTTGGCTCGGGTCATTTTATGGTGCAAACACTGAAATGTTGCAGGTGTTTTTTGTTTTTTTGGGTTTTTGCTGCATACTGTCATTTTCTGACAGACTTGTTGTTCTTCTATACCTTTGTTTTGTCTTGCAGGTATCCTATTTTCAACTTTAGTGTTCGGCCCAGCTTGTGGCTTCATCTTAGGATCTGTCTGTACCAAAGTTTATGTTGATGCTGTTTTCATTGATACCAGTAAGTTGGGAAATTAAATGGTTAAAAATATTGCAAAATTATACCACACTGA